CTGTATCTTTATTACTGTACTACCGGTATAGCAAAGCCTAGCTATCATAGATTTTAGATCTGTATTAGTAGTATCAGGAGTTAATAAAGACAAATCTGTCTTTATTAACTCCTGGTAGTATCCTAGATATATATGCTCTGAGCGCGAACGCAGTGATGGAAGGGTGCTCTTCATTTGTTTGCCAGTGAGTTTAGCATCAGAACACCTGCCGTCAGGTGAGCGCTGTTGCTCTGCGGCACTTGTTGTAATTTAACAGCAGAACATAACCTTATACATTATTCACACTGCACAGTGTAGGCGTCGCCACTTCTTGACGTTTTTTAAACTTGCAACACTAGTACCTTATTCCATTTCTATAAAGCATTAATACTCCATCCTAGGACTATGTAAGTAGTGATTAAATGTGTTATTTTAATTTCAGTGGAACAGACAGGGGAAAAAACTGCATTCGTAGTTGGGGGAACAGGAGAAACTGGGAAGATCCTTCTTCAAATGCTATTGGAAAAAAATGCATTTAAGCAAGTTGCATCCATTGCAAGGCGTGAACTGGAAAACAAAGACAATGCTTACAATAACCTGGTGGGTATAATGTGAATGGGCAGAAAACCCACACTGTGCCCCCTCCCCCCCCCTAGATCTGCCACTGACAACTACAGCCCTGGAATCATCTCTCCTTGAATTTTTTTGATAAAACATATATTTTACTGAGAATTGTACAAAACAAGTATGAGAAAAAGACAATGTTTGAACCAAAAAGTGCATGTTTTCACCCTTTATACAAAATCGGGAATATACTTCTGGTCGGGTCTGCAGCACCTCCACCCCCAAAAAAGTGTGATGAAATTGAATTTTTCCCATTCAATCTCCGTTAAAATCAATATCCCATCTCTCAATAGGTCTATTCTAATTTTGAATAAAGCAGGGATTTAACTTTCGTGAGCAGTGATAAGACGTGATTTGGGTATTTTGAAAAAAAATCATATGCATGGGGAATGGTCCAAAATTAACCGTCTGAGTTTAATTAAATAAAAAAGTTATTATAAATAATTTATTATAATAATGGCATTCTTGGAACTAGTTACAGACATTCTACAGTAAGTGTATGTCACTTTCCATTTGTGTAATAATACATTAGGAGAGTATGAGTAGTGATGATGGATTTGTAGATAAATGTTCAGTATTTAGTGTCTGTAAAATATGGAATTTTTCTTGATTTTCCTTCTGAAAGTAGGGGTGGGGGATGATTGTACATGCCATCCCCTACCTCAATAAGTGGGGGGGGGATATATCCCCCCCCCCCACTATCTACGGCCCTGATGTGATGTGTGGAATGTGGCCTTGGATTTTTCTGTATTGATTATACATTTTGTTTTAGGAACAAGTGATTGTCAATTTTGACAAGCTTGAAACGGACCATGCTGATGCATTCAAAGGCTATGATGTGGGGTTCTGCTGTTTGGGAACGACTAAAGGCAAATCTGGAACTGTAAGCTTTTTAAAATGTTTATGCTATTAATAAAATATAGTATATTGGTTTCTGCTCTGTTATAGTTGTATGCTGTCACAATCACAAAACATTCATAGTTGTCTCAAATATCTGTTCATTTATTTTTAGGATGGCTTTATAAAAGTTGATCATGACTATGTGATGGCTGTAGCCAGATTAGCAAAAGCTGGAGGATGCAAGCATTTTGTGCTGATGTCATCTATGGGTGCGGATGCAAAAAGTGGCATGCTCTATAAAAAGATCAAGGTGAGCCAATAAAATGACAAATATGAAACGTTAATTAATTATTTATTGTGAAAATGTGTTCTAATACCAGGAGCTTGTTGTCAGAAACAAAATTTATCTTAACAATATCTTTTATTCCTAGACCATTAACAGAAACAGCATAAAGTTATGAGAATGAAAAATCCTGTAAAAATCATACTAGGCCCATTGATTATGCAATATGTTGACGAATGCTAGAGTAACTGGCACCTTGTGTAGTTAAAGGAATAATATGTCCATTGATTATGCAATGTTGACGAATGCTAGAGTAACTGGCACCTTGTGTAGTTAATAAGTATGTAACCTTATAATCTAATGCGTATTAGTTTGTCCAATATCACTGCTGGTTACATTACAGGCAAGACTTGAAATCGGTTGTTGATATTCATTTACGTGCCGTAAATGTCATCCAGGACTCGAGCGATAAGTCGCTGATGACGTAAACATTTGTGTTTTGGACGCCAGCTGAAATGGAGGTGTCAGCGGTGTAACCACAGCCACGGACTAAACATGGAAATGGAGTAAAACACACGTACTAATCACGGACGCACATGGACAGCCCTGACAAAAAGTTCCTTATCACGAGCGTCCGTGTTTACGAAATCACTGATGATAACATTGCGTACGGCCGAGCATGCGTGCGAAAATGTCCGATGCACTATAAATCTGTATTACACCCGCTTTGCCGGCAGCGGTTTGAAACTGTAAACAACTGATTTCTTGGACTGCGGATTTTAATTAGACATTTCTTAGTAACCAGCAGTGATATTGGACAAACTAATACGCGTTTGGATGTAAGGTTATGTACTTATTAACTACACAAGGTGCCAGTTACTCTAGCATTCGTCAACATTGCATAATCAATGGGCCTAGTATATGCCTTTAACTTTACTCAAATTATTACACTAGACACTTGACATTTAACATTGAAACTTAACACTAGACACTAGACACTTAACACTGAACTAACTTAACACTAGACACTTAACATTGAAACTGAGATGTAAAGAATGCAGTTACACAACAAAACTGATTATAGTGATTGCTTTTTATATTATTTAATAGAACCTGTTTTTTATGTAAATTACAGAAACATCACATGTCCTAAATTGCGTACCAAAATACATTTACAAATGGCAATTGTTCTATTATTTTTGATATTTTGTCAAGTCAAGATGGTCATGTCTTGTGTTATCATGTGAAACTATTTCTTGCCGTGCATAATAAAAACACGATCATGCTGCTTTTCACAGTTATTATTTATACCTGATTAACTATCGTAATATGCACATGTGTCTGTCATGTACAATAAATATACATGAATTTGAGTTTTTATACCACTTACTCAGCAGTCATGTAATTACAAATGACTAACTTTCTGTTGTCATTAGTTTTGTCGTAGCTGCAATACGTTTATGTCAACACAATTCTTGTAAAATTAACAATAGTCGTACAGATATGATCTCAGTGGCAACATCAGCATTAACTTTGCGATTTTCCTGTCAAAGGGCCCCAGGTCATTAACAGAAGGTATTTAAATGGTACTAATCTTAATGGATTTTCAAGTATATTTGTTTATATTATTCTGATGGAGAACTGTAGTTACTTAGTAACTTATAGTATTCTGATGTTGCTATATAATCATGTTCATCCTACTTCTGCAAATGGTAGTACAGACCATCTAAAAATATTACAATGTAATATAATATTGTAGTATAGTATATCTGAATTAAACATAGTGTACCCCTGATACATGACTACATTCTTGCAGGGCCAGGTTGAAGAAGAGTGCAAGCAAGTCGGATTTGAGAAGCTTTCTATTTTTCGACCAGGGTATATAATTATGTGTAAAATGTTTGCTAATCATACCAGTCATTCATGGCTATAACTGTTATTGCTTCTATGAATTTGTAATGCTCTCGTATTCTGTGATAGTTGGAGCTGCAGCAGGTGCAGGTCAAGTCTTTTTGTTGTCGACAGAGGACATCATTGATCTTCTTGTAACACACTTGTATCTTCGCTACATTGCAGGGTACTGCTGGTAGACAGGGAGGAGCGACGGGCAGGAGAGGGTGTGTTTCGTTTCATGTTAAAGCCAGTCGCATGGATGTTTCCAACACTCATCACCACCCCTATAGAGATGGTTGCCGTGGCTATGATAAACAATGTGCAGTCACCAAGCAACCAGAGTGAGGAGTTGCTATGCAACAAGGAAATTCACAATCTTGCCACAGTCAAATAAGATGAAGGGAATGTTGTTGAAACAAAAAAATAGGTGTGTTTCCGGTCGACCGACCGTCCCTAGATTATTAGGGCCGACCCTAAACTTTTTTTTCCAAAAAAAAAATTTATTAATTTTTTTTTTTAAATTTGAAATCTAA